AAAGGAAATAGTCATATTTGGCAAACTTAAATACATTTTTTAAATTAAGTTGTGTAGTTTTTCTACTCAAGACTTGATTTTTAAAGAGTTGCAAAAGTCTTCTATTATGTAGAGATTCTGCCTTAGTGGATGGAGTAAAATTGTACCTTCTACTTGCTCCTTAAATTCAAAGAAAATTCCTTAAGAAAAATCCTGCTAATGTGGATTTTGAAAGGTAATTTGAGAGATAATGACTTTGCCCATCTCCCTGCTTGATGCACTCTGAAGAGCCAGGTTTGCAGAGAAGAAAATTCATGACTTTCTGCACTCTCACTTAGGGAGAGAAAGCAAAATATGGACAAGAATATTTCAAAAACGTGACTGTCCCAGGTGAGTCACAGTGTGTGGAAAAGTGGAGATGTGGTTTGAGAAGGGAAAAAAACCCACAAACACACATAATTGATGTGGATAAGTACAGACTGACATGGTGAAAAGCATGTGCACGCTGTGGAAATAAACCCAAATATTATCATGTCCCATTCTTTGCAGCTCATTAATCCAAAAACAAAAATAATGTTTAGGTTAGTCAGAAAGAAAACTAAATCCTACACGGGTGTCATGGGGTAGCTTTACCTTTAAGACAGCTTGGAGGGAGAGGAAGTTGAAGCTGCTGGTGGCTGATGGGAGTTTTTCCCTCCTGACCAATTATCGGTCATTTTCAAGAATTGACAGCAGATCTGACCATTAAAAAGTGAATTCAACTTGTAAACACCCCCTTAAGAAGTACAGACAGAATTCTCTTGCTCTCTTTGGTTTCCGGCTTCGGACAAGGTAGCAGGCTCTGTCTTGGCCTCCTTCCCCCCTCTCCAGGCCTACAAGGCCGCAGGGTGGAGGGGGGGGGAGGGAGAAGAGAAGCAGCGCTGGCCAGCCGAGCTTGGTTTTCAGTTTTTGCTGCTAGACTGAAACTTAATACCATGAACTCTTGCAGTTTTCCTAAAGCTTTTAATTCTTTTACTACCTGGATAAACATACAGATTACTCCTTTTCTCAGAAAGACAGAGAGAGAGAGACAATTAACATAGAGGAGACATCATAGAACCACCAAAAACAGTGAAGAAAAGAGTTAAGTTTAAATAAGAAAGAGAGAATAAGGAGATGCTTTACAGCTGAAATATCTTTCTGTTAAAGCTATGGAGATGGACAATAATAGTATAAAAAGACTCCTTTAATTCATAATAAGAGTATTAGGAGGAATGAGATATTCAAAGTGTAACTTTTGAGCAGAAGAGAGAGAGAGAGAGTACTTGTGATACTGTGAGTTGCTGGAATTGAGTTGAGTGAAGATTTTGAAGCTTTGGGGGCAAAGAGAAAACTGTTTTCCAGGAAGGCTCACAGAGACAAATGAAGAAGACTTCTGCCTTTGAATAACTTATCCTTAAAAATAAGATTCCTAAACTCTGTGACCCATACACACCTTGGAGATGTGAAATGGGAGGAGAAGATCTAATGACAGATTTCCGGGCAGCTGGCATTAGAGAAATAGAAAACTATGATGAAAAATAGTTTTCTAGTGAGAAACTCCGTAAGCTAACAGAAAGAGACTTCTGTTTCTCTACAAAGACTGATGAAAGACTGTAGCAAG